TATACTCAAGAGGCATGATCTGGGGAGTTCTTGATCTGTTGAAGAGACCCAGGTTTTTATTTTTTATTTCTTCTGTCTTTTGTGCAGTTGATTCTCTGTGCCTGTGATCATAGGTTAGGAGTATGATTATTTTGGGCTTGCTTCAAAATGTGCGTATGTGCTATTTTATTCGTGGAATCCAGAGCCATAAGGAAATGAGTTCATACACTTTTCAGTGATTTCCCCCCCTTCCCCCCTCCGGTTTTCTCTTTTAACCAGTAGTTGTATGGGGTTGTGCTTAACTGTTGTCAAGTTTCTGAAATATAAAATAACTTATATTTTAGTGTAAACTGATTAAAAACAAACACTGTTTTTGTAGATTGACATTTAAGCTCATGTTTTCCATGGTGTATACCATTAAGACCTTATAAATCACTGTAAGACACGTTGAAGCATGCAGAAAGAAGAAAAAACGTGGTTGCCTGGGTGGCTTTTCTAATTTTTGTCTACAACAATTTCAGAAACTCGCAGGTTCTTTGATGAGCTTTGTGCAGAGAGAAATGTTGAGTGTCCACCTCCCAGGACAACAGCCAGGCTTCTTGACAGAGTAAGTAAAGGTGTGGTTTTATAATCCTAATGTCTTTGAGGATCTATCTGTATCAACAGAAGTCTCTTCAGAGCAAAAGTTTAGCTGCATCTGGGCAAACACGCTGAAATGCGCTTCAGCTATTTCTGTATCACAGTGAGAAAACTTGCTGTGTCAGAATCTTTTTGTGTTGTCTACACCAAAATGTAGTTTACTGATGCCTGCTTAATGTGAGTGCTAGAGAATTTTGGTTTGATAACTGGTCTCTTGTGCTTAAAGCAGATCAGTTTTGTCTGTGCATTTGTATGTACCTTACCAAACTGGTAGGCTTACCATATAGTTCTTCTGTCAACTGTATTAAGTCTTTTCCTTTGTACCCAAAATAGGACCTGATAGCTGTTTTTCTGCTGCTTTTCCTATTGGCCTTTGCTGTAATGTCCAAATTGAATTACGTTGTTATTTTTTATACAGTTTTTGCCATGTCATTTTTCTTATCCAACTAGGACGTACGCTCTCCGTTAGTGAAGACATTACCATGATCAGGAATTATTAGTTGGGAAACTTTTCAGCTTTATGGTACCTTCTTCAGTAGTGAAGAGAAGGAAGTAGGATGTTTGGGGAAGGCAGTGCTGGGAAAGTGATACTGTACTCTACATAATTGTTTTGCTTTTGTTTTTGCAGTTAGTTGGTGAATTCCTGGAAGTCACGTGTATCAACCCTACATTCATCTGTGATCACCCACAGATCATGAGTCCTCTAGCCAAATGGTAAGAGTATGAGACACAGTCAGTGTGTAACTCTTTTAAATGCTCTACTCCTACTTTATTAAAAAGAAAAAAAAAAGGCAAGCAAAAAAAAGTCACGTATGTGAAAACAGATTTTGATGTTGTATACGAGTTTGTGAATTCTGACACCAACCAAGGCAGACATTGGTTCCTGAGCTGTGAAACCTGTCATCCGGGGAAGAGGTGTGCTTAATAGTTGTAGTTTTGACAGCTGTTACTGCTAAGTGTGGGCAATCCTCCTGAAGTAATGTATGTGCTCTTTGCTCCTCTAAGGATGTTTATTTTAAGGTATGGTTGTTTTGTCGTCTTCACATAGGCATCGCTCTCATCAGGGACTAACAGAACGCTTCGAACTCTTTGTAATGAAGAAGGAAGTGTGCAATGCGTACACAGAACTTAATGATCCTTTCCGTCAGCGGCAGCTTTTTGAGGATCAGGCCAAGGTATGGTGTCTTGCTCATAGTGAATCAATGATATAGGCATGTAAGCAATTTTTCCCATGTCTATTCCAAATCTGTCATTACTCCCTACTGCTGAAAAGGGTTGTTACTACTCTGAGCAAGTGTTTCTCACTCAAGTGAAAGCCTGTCATTAAAAGTTAATTCCTTTTAAAGGAACCTTGCTCTCTAAGGTAAGCAAGTCCAAACACTGCTGTTGATTAGTTTTTTAGTAGTGCAACTTTGTTTTGGAATATCTTCCCTTTTATTCTACTTGAAGTACTAATCTGAAAAAGAGCAAACATGCAAAGAGTTTTCTCTGTCTTGCTGAGGTTGAAAGTTATTTTTCCCCCATGAAGCATTTATGTAGTCAGACAACATTATACTACTAGGTTCTTAAATAAATTTTCGTGTCCGGTAAGAGTTTGAATGGTGTGTAAGAAATAGCCTGATTTCCTGAACTGAGTTATTACTATTTTAAATTGGCTCACAGAATAGAGCTGCAGACTGGAAATTACTAGGCCTGCAAATTTATAGTACTAGGTTTCTCTAGATAAGCCTCAGAAAGGAGTGACTGAAACTGATTTTGTTACTAATTAGGTATATACATCCATGAATGCATACGTGCCCACAAGAGATTGTGGTCAGATGATGCGGTCTGCAGAAACAGAGTTTCTGTTCTTCCTGCTCTTTCTAATGGCTTCACACTGCCTGAGAGGATTAAACAATTGTCAAAACCAGGAAAATAGACTTATGTTAACTAACTTACTTGATAGTAAGTTTCAAAACGTTCAGTCAGAATGAATAATATTACAGATTTCTTTCACCTTTGATTTGTTGTATATATGTTTGCTGCAGTTGTGTCTCATGATTATAGCCAGACTTTGCAGACATATGATATATATATTGAATGAAAATTTGCCTGAAAATTTAATGTTAGGGTGGAGATTGAGGTGAAGGATGGCAGTTCACATTTCAGGATTCCAGACTCGGGCGGAAAAGTTTGCTTTAACAGTCTTTTGCAAAGTCTTCCTTGAAACTGTGAGCAAAAATGTTTGTTGTTGTTGTTGTTTCAACACTTACACTTGGCATTTTCTAAATTTGAGAGGGTTGGCTTGTCTGCGTTTTTATTATTATGACTTTTGGCACTTGGAGGCTGTCAGGGTCGGCTGCATTAGTTACCATCTCTGCATAGGGTTTTTTAATCTTTCTACTTGAGGGGAAAAAAGCAATCCCTAAACTTTGTTTCATGGAGCAACTACTGATAATTCAAACAATTTTGCTTCTTAGTTGTTTCTGCAAACATTAAAGGAGGGGTTGCAAGCAATAAAGAACCTGAGAAGCCTTTGAAAGCAATCTATTCCACTGTCATCTGCTGCCATATGGCCCTGGAGATAGCTTTTACTGAAGTGAGGGGCCTGGGCCTTTGTCTGGAAAGGAAACTACAGATCAGAAAGGAATTGAGCCTAGAGCTATTTTGGAAGCAGCTGTACAAGTGACCTCCACAGTTCTCCGGGTGCCAGGATTCCTTCATCTGTTACTCACGCAGCTGTACAGGGCTTTGGTTTCATCAGTGACATGATGGCTACAAATACCGATACTCCTCCTTTTTGGTAGGGGTTAGCAGAAGTGGTACTGTCTCACTCTGTACAGCCCACCTTTTACTACTGATTTTCTCATTTAGGCAAAAGCTGCAGGTGATGATGAAGCCATGTTTATTGATGAGAACTTCTGCACCGCACTGGAGTACGGCCTTCCTCCTACAGCTGGCTGGGGCATGGGAATTGATCGCTTCACCATGTTCCTTACAGATTCCAGTAACATCAAGGTAAATGTTAGGCATGGCAGTGCCTACTGCAAGCTTTGTCAGAGAACGGGGGATGAGGTTCTGCAAAGCAGGCCATCTCTCTAACAAAACGAGCAACAGGCAGCGTAGCCATTTGCGATTCCCTAAGACGAAGCATTCCACCTCAGAAAAGCTCTCCTTTCTTGCGCTTGCCTAGAAATCTTGAGAGCGTGCGCAGCCGGGGTGCGCGGCGCGGTGGTGCGCCGCC